GTACCAAATCATTTCCTGAAAAAAACATTTCCAATTGCAAACATATCTCAGCCTTTCTTCTTGGGTTTGTTATGTCTCTGTGAGTGAATTAAAGAGGCAGGGCAGAGGGGAATGTTTCTGACTGGGGATTTTTTCATCTGAAAACATTTTTAACAATAATCTACATAGAAAAAGAGAGCCGTTCAGATCCACCTTTCGGAATCCTGGCTGTGAATATTGCATTTCTGATTAAACTTCAAAGATGTTTAAATACCTTCCTATTTACAAATTGGCTCACTCTGGCTATACAACAGGTCTTGGGACAGATATGACTTCTCTTCTCTTATAAAATGTAAGCTAGAAATGCACGCATGCATGTGAATGCTTACACACACAGACAAACACACGCACACACACACACGGGGTTGGTCTAAAATGTAAAATTTTTTTTTTCTTCTGAGAACAAGATGAAATCTTTTGCATCCTAGACACTGCTTTGGCAAATTCTGCCTCAACTCAACTTGTGTGGTTGAAAGGTGGTCTGACAATTTGGATTATTTATTCAACAAATATTCCTTGAGTGCGTACTACTCCTGAGATGTTGTTTTAAGTAATAATAATAGTAGCATATATTTACATAGCTCTTACAGGTGCCAGACACTATTCTGAGTACTTTACATATATTAACTCAATTAATCTTCTCAACAACCCTAGGAGGTAGGCAATATATTATCACTCCCATTTTGTAGATGAGGAATCTGAGGCATGAGTGAATGATGAACTTGCCCAAGATCACATAGCTGGTGAGGGGTGGATCCTGGATTTGAATGTAGGCAGTCTGACTCCTAACCACTGTATCATCTGGCCTCTGTGGGGATCTATAATGAACAAGAGAGAATAAGTGCCAGTTTTTGCAAAACTTACATTCTAGTGGGATGAGATAGTTAACAGACATAGACATAATAGTTATTTCAGATTGTGATGCGTGCTATGAAGAAAATAAGACATGAGAGGGAGACAGAGGGCAAATCAGAGAGTCTTATAGGTCATAGTTAGGAGTCAGGGTTTTATTCTGAGTATGATGGGAAGCCACAGGAAAGTTTAAAGCAGGAGAACATCTGATCCTTTTTATATTTTTGCGGAACGTCCTGGGAGCATTGTGGGAAGTAGGTGAGGTGTGAGGGAAACGAAGGCAAAAGCAGTAGACCAGTTAGAAGGCGGTTCCAGTGGCCCAGTTAAAAGACTATGGTGGCTTAAGCTAGGATGATGGGGGAGATGACTGGGTTCAGGTCCTCGTCTTCAGGTAACACCCACAAAACTTGCCAACATATTGGACAGATGCAAAAGGTGAGGAAAAAGGAGAACTGAATGGTTCCTCAGATGTGGATTTGAACGATTGTGTAAACAGTGGTGCCATCTACTGAGGGGCATAAGAATAAGGAAGGCAGAGTTTGTTTTAGTGCTGTTATGGTGGGTGTGAGGGTGTTGAAAATCACAAGATCTGTTTTGGATGTAAATGTGAGATCTCTATTAATAGACTTAAGAGGAGACATTGAGTAAGCAATTCAATTCATAAGCCTATAGCTCAGTGTTGGACCTGGGCTGGGGATTTAAATGTGGACATGGCCAGCATTTAAATGATTGGGATCACCCAGGACAACTGCATCCACTTGAACTTCCTGTGATGCAAACATTCTATAACTGTGCTGTCCAGTATAATAGGCCATGTGGCCATTGAGAGCTTGAAATGTGACTGGTATAGCTAAGGAGCTGAGTTTTTAATTCATTGGTATTTAAATAGCTCACGTGGCCAGTGGCTACTGTATTGGACAGCGTGGACCTTGGGGAGAAAATGTTGATAGAGGAGAAAAAGTCCCAGGCAGGAATAAGTTTCTTCATTGGCCAGTAAGCCCAGCCTTGCGTCCACATTTGAGCATGCCTTTCTTCCCACTGCCTGCTGCATGCATAGCAGCGCTTGTTAGCAAAGTAAGCAGAATGGTGCTTTTTTATGAGAAGTAGCCTGGGAAAGCAAACTGGTAGTTCTAGGGGAGATGTTAGAAGAAATTACAGAAGTCTTAGTTGTTCTTAGCTAGAAAACAGATGCAGTCGTATACTTATAGAATCATTTAGGCTTTGAAGGTATCACTTACATTTTTCTGTTATGTTTTGTGAAGGAGAATTCTATGGCATGGTGGGTATCTGAATTTGGAGATTTAGGGCAGTGACTGGCTGATGTCCTATGTGACTGTCAAGGGCCCACTGCAAAGGGACTAAATGCCAACCTCATCATGCAAGTTGTATCTCCTCAGGGCAGAGTGTGTTTTACTCTTTGGCAGTCTCCTTCCCTGGCCAGCTGCAGCTATCAGTGAGTTTGCTGATGTGAAAGAACTCTTTGTAAGTGACTGCCTTGTGCTTAAGGGTTCTTGCAAGTATACGTTGGCAATTGGGAAGGCCAAAGTCATAAAAAAATAAATAAAATGGAAAGATGGGATGTTGCTTTTATTAAGGTTGATTGCAGCTGCCATATTAGCTTTTAAAGAACCTCTTGGTGACCAACGCCTTCCAAGAAAATTGCCTGTGTGTACATAATTGGCAAAAATCAAGGGGATTTAAGTCATTGCTTGTAGGAGGGGTAATCCAATGCCAGCACTCACCAAGTGACCATCACACAACTGGTTCTGTGGCAGGAATCTTTTTTTTTTAATTGGAGTCTCGCTCTGTCACCCAGACTGGAGAGCACTAGTCGCTCCCGACCACTGCATCCTCAACTTGCTTGTCAATGGCAATCCTTCTGCCTCAGCCTTCCAAGTAGCTGGAACCACAGGTGCGTGCTACCACACCCGGCTAATTTTTTATTTATTGTAGAGATGAGGTCTCATCAAGTTGCCCAGGCGGGTCTCGAATCCGCGGGCTCAGGCAATTCACTCACCTCAGCATCCCAAAGCGTGGGATTACAGGCTGAACTACTGAGCCCGGCCTAATTTTTTTATTTATTGTAGAGATGAGGTCTCATCAAGTTGCCCAGGCGGGTCTCGAATCCGCGGGCTCAGGCAATTCACTCACCTCAGCATCCCAAAGCGTGGGATTACAGGCTGAACTACTGAGCCCGGCCTAATTTTTTTATTTATTGTAGAGATGAGGTCTCATCAAGTTGCCCAGGCGGGTCTCGAATCCGCGGGCTCAGGCAATTCACTCACCTCAGCATCCCAAAGCGTGGGATTACAGGCTGAACTACTGAGCCCGGCCTAATTTTTTTATTTATTGTAGAGATGAGGTCTCATCAAGTTGCCCAGGCGGGTCTCGAATCCGCGGGCTCAGGCAATTCACTCACCTCAGCATCCCAAAGCGTGGGATTACAGGCTGAACTACTGAGCCCGGCCTAATTTTTTTATTTATTGTAGAGATGAGGTCTCATCAAGTTGCCCAGGCGGGTCTCGAATCCGCGGGCTCAGGCAATTCACTCACCTCAGCATCCCAAAGCGTGGGATTACAGGCTGAACTACTGAGCCCGGCCTAATTTTTTTATTTATTGTAGAGATGAGGTCTCATCAAGTTGCCCAGGCGGGTCTCGAATCCGCGGGCTCAGGCAATTCACTCACCTCAGCATCCCAAAGCGTGGGATTACAGGCTGAACTACTGAGCCCGGCCTAATTTTTTTATTTATTGTAGAGATGAGGTCTCATCAAGTTGCCCAGGCGGGTCTCGAATCCGCGGGCTCAGGCAATTCACTCACCTCAGCATCCCAAAGCGTGGGATTACAGGCTGAACTACTGAGCCCGGCCTAATTTTTTTATTTATTGTAGAGATGAGGTCTCATCAAGTTGCCCAGGCGGGTCTCGAATCCGCGGGCTCAGGCAATTCACTCACCTCAGCATCCCAAAGCGTGGGATTACAGGCTGAACTACTGAGCCCGGCCTAATTTTTTTATTTATTGTAGAGATGAGGTCTCATCAAGTTGCCCAGGCGGGTCTCGAATCCGCGGGCTCAGGCAATTCACTCACCTCAGCATCCCAAAGCGTGGGATTACAGGCTGAACTACTGAGCCCGGCCTAATTTTTTTATTTATTGTAGAGATGAGGTCTCATCAAGTTGCCCAGGCGGGTCTCGAATCCGCGGGCTCAGGCAATTCACTCACCTCAGCATCCCAAAGCGTGGGATTACAGGCTGAACTACTGAGCCCGGCAGGAATATTTTTGTACTAATGCTCCATGTGGGGCTGGATACTTGGAGGAGAGAGGGCTAGCAATCTTTGGTGGCTGTTGACCTTCTTATTGTTCTTGAGGAAGGTGGAATTGTCGATTTCTAGGATTTGAAAACTGCAAAAGAACTTCCTGGTCATCTAGTTGAACTCTTCATTTCCAGCTGAGGAAAGGGCATAGAGAGGTGCCTGGCCCCAGGTCCCACAGCTTATTAGATCTGAAGGGACATGACCAGAGCCCAAGAGAGAAGCCAGGACAGAGGCATTTCTGAACAGCGGCTGGGTTGGGTCAAGGAGAGAAGGTAGATGTTCAGAAAAGAACCTCAGGGAAATCATACAGGAGAGAAGTCAGAGGAGGATGGAACCGAGGATGGAAGTGGCTTACAATACACATATAGTCTCAAACCAGTGACCTTATTTGGCCAGTCAACAGTTACCAGGCACCCACTGCACACACCAAACAGGAAGCCCTTGGAGGAGGGGCAGACAGGAGACCGAAAGCAGAGACTCAGAAGGAAATCAGTGCCCACTTTGCTTCTGTTTATCCTGAAATCTTTTCCTAGAGGAGACAGATTTCTGTGCTGTCAAGACCTGTTTCTCCAAGGAAAGTCAGTGAGGTGACAGTTGAAAGAGGTGAGATTAAGGGGACAATTAGATCCTTTCAGCCAGGCGAGGCCACGAATCGATTGTAGGCTGAGTAACAGCTCTAATCTAACATTAGTGGGTTTTTTCCTCAACATCAATATTGAACACACTTGCTACAGGGATCCAGCCCCCTGCCATAGCTGGCTGATATGTGACCTGACTCTTCCTTTTGTTTCAGTGTCCGAGCTTCAGGAGGAAGGAATGAACGCCATCAACCTACCCCTCAGCCCTATCCCCTTCGAGTTGGACCCTGAGGACACAATGCTGGGTAACTGTGCCTCTTGTCTCTTTGGATTCACTGACTGCTTCCCAGTGTAACCATCTCCACTGAATTTCCTTTTCTTTTTTAAGAGGAGAATGAAGTGCGAACCATGGTGGATCCAAACTCTCGCAGTGACCCCAAACTTCAAGAGCTGATGAAGGTAAGAAGTAATTGGGAGGAACCTCAGGGGCCTCACAGCCTCGACAGGCATCTGTAGACCACCTGCTCTGTGCAGGCACCCCAAGAGCCCCTCAGAGAGAATATATTAAAAGTCACAGCAGCCCTTGCCCCAGGTACAGTAGATGGCCATCTAAAATGTAACTGACTGCATAAGTGTGGGACATGACAAATGTCCAATGAACAGCACTGATCACAAGCGCCAGAGAGGTCAGTACAGGCCAGAATCTCAGAATGCCCTAAGTTCTTTCGTTTCTCAAGGACCCTCAAAAGCACCCTGTGGAATAGGAATTAGTATCGTCCTTATTTTCCAGATGAGGAAACTGAGTCTCAGAAAAACCAAGTCGTTTGTTTATAGTCACAAACAGGAGTGGAAGAGATGCAACTCAAACAGAAATAAAGGAGATTAAGTGAAACACTGTGCGTGATATCCCTGAACAGGAGCTGGCATGTGGTCACCCCTCCAAAACTGTTCCTTTCTCCCCCTTCTTATTCCCTGTCCTGTGTTCTTCCTCATCAACGTCACCAAACTGTACTTAAGACAAAAAAGCACTGAATATCAGAGTGATTCATTCCCAATGCAAATCTAGATATGTCCTTCCCCTGCTCAAGACCTGTCATAGTGTCTCCTCTGCTGCAGGCTGCAGCCCACTCCCGGGGTGGTATTTGGGGTCCAGGCTCTAGCTGCCTCTTTAACCTAAGGTCAGCCCCTGCCTGGCAACACAGGGACACCAGACCTGCTCCTCTTCCCACACTTCTCACTGCCATGCCTGGCTTATGCAGCCTCCTCTGACTGGAAAAGAAGAGTCTTCTGCCTTTCATCTGAAAGTCACAGTGCGGCCACATCCTCTGGGAAGCTTGTTCTAAATGCCAGTGTCATCGCTCAGCACCTCCTACTGTTGCTGTGGCCCTGCCTGTAGTTCTCTTGTAGAGTCCACATGCTATTATAGCCTACTCATATACTTCTCTGTCTCCTTCACCAAATGATCAGCGTCTTGGGGTTACAGACTCTTATTTTTCCATCACTGTGACCCAAGGATCCAGTGCATGATGTCACTTATAGCAGGTATTTAATAAACACTGGATAGATGAGTGGGTGGAGGGAGGAAGAAAAGGGGAGGAAAAGTAAGTGGGTGGATGGGTAGGGATTTCTAAATCAGCCAGGCTATTCAGAAGCAAAATCAAATGCATGTGAGTTGGGCCATCTCTCTAGGGACTGGAGGACTGAGGACAGTCTTCTCAAGATGTATAAATGTTCCTTTGTTTGCTCCCTGCCTGAGTCTGTGCTCTTACTCCAGAGTCCAAGGAAGAAGGCAATCTGGGCTGGGAGGCCGTGCAGACTCTTACATCTCTGGACCACATCTGAGCCCCACAGGCAGCTGAGCTCTGAATGTTGGGTATCTGGCCTTTTCTGATATAATCTGTGCTGCCCACAAATGGTAACCACTGGTCCGGTGAGACCTGAGCCCTTGCCTTGCTGTGCAGAGAGAAGGTGGAACATTTGTAGGTTCAGGCTCTGCCTGCTGTTGTATCTCTCCAAGGTGCTGGGCCTGTGTGGGCAGGGGACCTGAAAAAGGGTCTAGCCCTGTGCTTGTTCCTGTCTGGGGCACTCACCATGCTGGAATATGTATGCTACTACTTGCCCAGGAGACCTCCAAGGGTGAGGACACAGTCAGAATGGGCTCTAAATGGTTCAGGTTTCAACAATGATCTCCTAGACCCAGATCTACACTTGGGCCCAGTTTGAGGGAATGGAAGATTGGAGACGCACATTGCTGTGCAAAAGCCTACTCTTCCTGGTCAACTCCTACTGTTCTTTTAAGAGTTTTCTCAAGAGCTGGGCACAGTGGTGCAAGCCTATAGTCCCAGCTACTTTCAGATAAAGAGTAGGCAGAGGCTGAGGTGGAAGGATTGCTTGAGGTCAGAGTTCAAGGCTTGCAGTGTACTACGATCACCCCTGTGCATAGCCACTGTACTCTAGCTGGAACGACATAGTCCCAGCCTCAAAAAAAAAAAAAAAGAGTCTCTTTAAACACAAGCCTTTCTGGAAGCCTCCTCTCATTCCTGCTCCCTTCTGCTCACTCCCAGACTATGGGTGTGTTGTAATCCTTTAGTTGACTGACTTTCTCCCGGCAAGCCTCTCTAGGACAGAAACTGGTCTTTCTCTATTGAATTCAAGACATTTCCTAGTTCATAATAGGTGCTCAATAATTGCTATCATCCTGCCCTGGCATAGTAGAACAATGTGCTGTAAAGCCCCTAGGCGCCATTGTCAGCTCTTCCTGGGATGGAAACATTGTTTTATAAGGCAGTGTATTTATGCTGAGGCATAGAAGTCTGACACAAAGACGATGTTCTGTAGGATTCCATTTCGAAGAAATCAGAAAAAAAAAATGCAACACTGGAGTGGCTCCCTGAGGACTGTGGTCAGGGGACAGGACTAGGTATAAAAGGACCTAACAAAGTATCTTAGGGTGAGGGCACTTTATCTTGATTGTGGTGAGGGGTCACACAACCATGTATAATACCAAACTTTGTCATTGTATGCCTAAAATTGTCTAATTTGATTATACAGAGATAATATCTTAATAAAGAAAAGAAAAAAAAATGAAAATAAAGGCAACACAGTCAGCCCTCTGTATCCGTGGTTCCACATCTGAGCATTCAACCAATCACAGAAAATATTGAGGAGAAAAACTAAACAATAAAATTTAAAAATACAAATAAAAACAATATAGTATCACAGCTATTTACATAACATTTACACTGTATTAGGTATTGCAAGTAATCTAGAGATGAGTTAACGTATACAGGAGAATTTCATACGTTATATGTAAATATTATACCATTTTATGTGAGAGATTTGAGTATCCATGGATTTTAGAATCCATGGGGGTCCTGAAACCAATTTCCCAGTTTTGAGAGACAACTGTATACAAACTTCACTTTCCTTACCTGAAACATGGAACTAATGATATGTGCCTCTTGGTGGTGCTGTGCAGTTTAATGAAATGTCACATGCAGTGTCTCCTTGCAATGCCTGGTGCACAGTAGGCTTCAGGTTGTGACTGCTGCTAAGAGATAAACAAGAGAGAGGAGACTGCACTGTCCTATGAGAGGTGGCTTACCACAGAGAAGAGGATGTACACTTAAGAGTGAGATGGAAGAGGGCTCCCTTCCGGCCTCTACCCTGGTGAGCTCTGTGACCTTGGGCAAACCTGTTTACTTCTGTGCTGATTAACCCTCCAGAACATAGTGGTGACAGTAACCACCTTGCCAAATGTCAGCATGGGAGATGGCTTTTTTTTTTTTTTTAAATAAGATCTGCATTTCATTGAGTATTTGGTGCTTGCCATAGATAATCCTCTTCCCCTACCTACTGTGGAAGGCACTTTCATGCTCAGTTTTAGACATGGGAACCAGATGCTCAGAGAAAATGACTAGCTTGCCTTAGGTTCATAGACCCCTGGGGTGTGTGCACACACATGCACACAGTTCCACAGATGACAGTGGTCCACAACCATTTAGTGGGTAGAGCTGAGTTTCAACCAGTTTTTACAACTCCAAAGCTAATCCCCTTGGCTGGCACAAAGCCACATACATGAATGTTGCTTGCTGTTAGTAAGTCATGGTAGGAGTCTAAGGAGGTATGAGCACTTGAAGGGTGTACACCTAAAAATTAACAGGGCCACTGGGGCTCACAGTCACAGCTACCTGTCCACACGTTAGTCCAGTGGATAGTTCTGCTGCTTTTAAAATCTGAAGTTCACTTTGACTTTAATTGTTCAGGATAAGAGAGTTGGTTTATAAGATGGTACCCTATGACATGTCTCTTATTCTTATACGTGCTCTCTCTTATTCTCTCCGTAGGTATTAATTGACTGGATTAATGATGTGTTGGTTGGAGAGAGAATCATTGTGAAAGACCTGGCTGAAGACTTATATGATGGACAAGTCCTGCAAAAGCTTTTTGGTAGGAGGAAAGTTGAGTGTTGCGGTGGATGTCTTTAAACTTGGGTGGATGCACCACCTACTTCTGGCTAGCAAGAGTAATTCTCATTTCACTGCGGCTTACTGGAAATGGACTGTGAATATGTAGAGTGTGGGATAACAGATCAGTGAAGGCTTTAGATATCCTCTTCTTGGAATCTTTCACATGAATGAACTGCAGAGGGAGTCTCCATGACCAGGGGATCAGCTCCCTCTAGCAGCAAGGGTCCCTAGCTGGGTAGATGTATAGCTGGAAAACACACCCCGTCCTCTCCAGAAAATTGTGTATTTGTCACCTCCATAGATACATTTATGTTTGTGGGTGCAAGGAGGCATTTTTAGATCTCTGTCATCTATAGATGTGTGTATGTGTGTATGTGTTTGTGTTCCTCTGTGATCTATGGACCTGCATGTATATATATCTTCCTCTGTGATGTACAGACCTGTATGTGTGAATGTTTCTCTGTTATCTCTGGACGTGTGTGTGTGTGTGTGTGTGTGTGTTCCTCTGTGATCTGTGAACCTGTGTGTATGTGTTTCTCCCTGAGTCACCTCATAGCTCTTCATGTGAAAATGTAAGGCCAAAGGGGAGAAAAAGGAGAATTCAGGGTCAATCCTTACTGTTCAAATTCAGCTTGAATGAGTTGGGCTTCTGCTCACTGCTCCTGATTTAACTCTGGCCCAAACTTTTCCCTCAAGTTCTAGACTCCAGTCCTTAGCTGCCACTGGACTCCTCTGTCTAGGTGCACCTTAGTCTTAGTTCACCTTAGCCTTAGTTCATCCACCTTTTAATGCTGTTTCTTCCCCCTTTGAGTTCACAGAATCCCCATCCTTGCTCTTGCCACTCTGCCCCTATCTGCTGGGGTGGAGAGGTGGTCACCAAAACCCATTTCTTCTTGCTCAGAAATCTCTCCTGGATCTATCCTCTCGGCCATTTTCACTTGTCTGCTCTGTTCCTGTCTGAACTATTGAAGAAACTTCCAAACTCACCTCTTCGCCTCCCATCACTTCCTCCATCCTGTTCCCTCCACGGCTAGCACAGGGATGTTTTTAATCACCAGTCCAATTTTTCCAGGACTGACTTATAACCCTCTGTGACTCTCTCCTGCCGGACAAAGTCCAGAGCATTTCATCATCTGACCCCAGCTGTCAACTCAACCTCAGCTCCAGCCCCTCCCCCACATGTGGTTCACACAGTGTGGCAATACTTGGAAAATGCTCAGAATAGTGCCTGACACAGAGTAGATGCCCGAGAGAGGTCTGTTGTAATTTTTGTTGGTTTTACTATTTTTATGTATACTCTTGCTGCGTTATTATATTATTATATGCATTATTACAGGTACCATGCATATTAACACCCCTGTACTGTTGATCATGCTGTTCCTTCTACCTCTGAGGCTCTTCTTCCTGCTTTGTTCACCAGGGCAAACCTTTATTGTTCATCCTTCCCATCCCTAGTGCCTCCCTCTTATAGCCTCTACAATCAAATGTGCCTCCCTCTTATAGCCTCTACAATACAGCCACATTTACAAGAGATAGTCATATACTCTTCTGTATTCACCCCCAAATATATCTGATCTATATATCTGAAGTAATGTGTGTGTGTGTGTGTGTGTGTGTGTGTGTAGTGTATTTATCTTCCCACACACATATATGTGTTTGGGAACAACGACAACAAAAACACCAGAATTATCTTTTGGAGGGTGGGCCCCTTATAGTACACTCAGAATTTGTTCTTCCAGATCAAATAGTCAGCCAAAGTTTTTATCTGGAAGTTGAGAAGGTTGCATCACAGTTTGCAGAAGAAACGTCCAGAGTTGTGGCAAACGGGTGACTGGTTCTTCCACCATGACAATGCACTTTCCACTATGACGATGCACCTTCCACCATGACAATGTACCACATTGAATGTCTAGCAGTTTTTGACCAAAAAAACGACTTATCCCTAGGTTCCCATCCTCCTTATTCACCCAATTTTGCCCCGAGCAACTTTTTTTGTGTTTTCCCGGATAAAAAAATTCCTCAATGGGAAACATTTTGCCAAGATGGAAGATGTAAAACAAACAAACAGAAAATGGCAAAAGGAATAAAAGGCATCAAAATTGACCAGTTTAAGAACTGTTTTGAGCAGTGGAAAAGCATCTGGATAAGTGTATCACATCAAACGGAGAATACTTTGAAGGTGACTGAAGTTTAAACATGTAAGAATAAATACACAATTTCTTATTAATAAATTCTAGATTTTTTTAGGTCCCCCTCATATGTGTACATGTATGCATGTGTGCCTTAGAAGACCTTCCTTGTTGTTTGTAGCTATTTATGTAAATGTATGTGGTCTTCTCAAAGACAAGAACCAAGTCTTATTTATTTATCCAGGCTCCCCCAGCACGCTAAGGTTATCTAACACATGTTTCCTAACACTTAATCAATGTATATTGAATGAATCAATGAATGCTTATAAAATCTAGTAATTTCTAGGAAGCTAAACTGATTTGGTACTCAGACATCAATAATAATGAGCATTCATATTTCAAATCTTCTATACTCCACTGAATACAGAGAGGAAATGAAAAATCTTCATCACCTGTTGACATGGATAAGCTAGGCACCTCACTGAGCATCTCTTACAGTGACTATAGATTTTAACTCCTCTGGGAAATGTCTAGTTAGGATAAACTGTCAAAATGTTCTATGCTAGACTTTCCAGCAAGGGTGGAACATGACCACAGAGTGATGGAACATAGTCATGGAGTAATCATGCCTCCAGGAATGGTTACAAAACCGTTCCGCATCATGGCTCTGCAACCCCAAGTCAGGCATTGCACACAAACAGATTATTTCAGATCTCAGCCTTCATGTTGAAAAGGCGATTCACTACAGAGGTGATGCTTCTGTGGTAAACTTAAGTTTAGACCCTCAAAGGTCAATGGCTGCATATAAGCATTCAAAATCTACAGGCATGATACCCAAGTGGAGAGAACCAATTGGCCATTAAAAAATGTGCACTAGAAGCTCCTGGAAGGGGTCAGTCTAGAGGCAGAATTTAGGGTAATCTTTCTGACCTCAAGTTCCCCTCTGGCTATTTTTCTTTTCAATGGTCTTGATAACTTGGATCACATGGTTAAGGTGATATCTACCAGATTTCTTCACTGTAAAGTTACTGTTTTTCTCTTTGTAATTAATTTATTTGAAGGAGATACTTGGAGACCATGTGAATAACCTGTTTCTCCTGAAACTTCTCCCACTAGTTTTAGCATCCTCTGATGGAGCATGTCTGATGCAATTATTGTAGTAGTGGTCTAATGGTGATTGTCTTTTCCCTTTATTCCTTCTTCTTTAATTAATTGGAATTCTTCTAAAAAGAAGAGTTATCTTGTCACTCCCATTTATTTATTCATATCACTATGTACATGGGATTTTTATTTTATGCTTTGGGTTTTAACCCAGTATTATCATTATTCGCTTTTTTGCTCATCTGCTTCTAGCTTTTTCCACTGAGATCTCTTTCAGTTGAAAGAGTTTAGGTCCTGAACCCTTTCACACACTACCCATATTTTTATTTTCTTAGTACTTCCTTACTTTCTGGCATCACAAAATACGCTTGGGCCATCTTATATTTTCCTTACCCTAGTCCTGGAATCAACCACTTCTCCAAGGAGCCTTAACTTTTTAAAATTGGAGAACGATGTTTAGATGTCAAGATCCGGGTAGATTATTGAGTGTTTTTAACTTGCTGTCTGCAGCATAAATCATGAAAAATCTGTATCTAGGTATGGCGATCTCACCTGGTGGTTACTAAGGTGAGTCAGGCAAGATCATTTCCAGAAATTCAGCTTTCACTTATATTAGGGCTTGAGCCTCCTTGATAAACTGAGTTAGTTGGATATGGAGAATTGGAGGGGACTGAGTTTGAGATTAGTGGACTAACTATGGAACACCGACACTTAAAAGATGATGGAAATGGCATAGGGGCCTCCAGTAGTCCAGGAGCACACATATCTCAGACATCAGGATAAGGCTGTGGAATCCAGGAAGCCATGTTGATAGCATTGTGGAGCAAAGACTGAGAACCTAGGAGAAGTGAGCAAGATGCTGAGGCAGGGGTCTCTTGCCAGAGGGCTGTGTATATTTATTGTTGTGGTGAAAGCCTGAACACTTGAGCGTCCTTGAGATGCCAAGGTGGCCTCTGCTGGCAAGGACAGGCTGGCTGTTCTCAGGTGGCAAGTGCTATGGGGAGCAGCAGCATGCTTGGTTAACCTCTATGCAGTCAAATTCTCCTTGCTCATAGCAGTGTCTTCTGCTTGTGGGAAAATCGGCCTTCTTGGAGTCCCCAGGTATTTCTCTTAGGTTCTCTTGGAACAAACTCTCCTCAGTCCTTTTTCTTAGCTGCCTGACCCAGCACCTCCACGGCTGCTTCTGTTTTCTGAGTCTTCCCTCTTGCCCTGGCAGCAAATATGAGTTTAGGTTTTCCTAAAAGCAGATGCTAAGACAAGGACTTGGGTAGAGGTGATCTTAGAAAGTACAAATAGCCAAGTGGAGAACATAAGAAGGGAACAGAGAAATGCCAATTGAGAGTATATTAACAAGAACAGCAGCTCTGTTTCAACCACAGCTCATACCTGGGCCCTGTGAGAAACCAAGTGTTTCCCATAATTATGTTATATTTCTCCTGTGGCTCCCATTGCCCTGTGGTTGAGAGTTACCTATACAGGAAACAAGAACCTCCAGGTTGTGCTCCTGTAGTAGCAGATAAGTCTTTGGGCAGAGGAAGAGAGAGCCTTGGGGGTCAAGGTGGCCATCTGTGTACAGGGAGCTGTCTGCACCTGCAGGTGAGCACAGGTGAGGCAGGGAGGTTGGGGAAGGGGCATTGCCATCATCCCAAGAGACCAGAGGTCCCTCGTTGTGGGGGCCCTTCCTCCTGGCACTGGCCATTTCTTTGTGCCGTGAGTGTCACTGCCAAGAAAACATCAGATGCTGGCCACT